ATCCAACCCGACAAATCATATTCATTCAACTTACTATATAATTTAAATTCTATGAAATCATAAACGCCTTACTTTTACTCACGTAGTTGGTGCACAGTAATTACTAAACTCAAGATACGTGATACTACTATCAACCGAAGAAAAGAAGATGTCCCAGTCTAGACTACTAACCAGTGCTTGTTTAAGTATCAAGTCTCCGTTCAAGTCGGAGGACCTATCGACGCGAAACATACACGTCTATAACACTGCAGAGGAAGACCTGGTGCCCAGGAAAATAACAAGGCAATGCTCAGTATTCTCCGGAACCTACGGAGTCCAGGAATTGATGCATGTGGAAGAGGAATTCCTTGATATATGCGAAGATCTGGAGATCAGCGGCAAACACAGACACCTCAAGTGGAAGGAGATCTTGGAACACGGGCCCAGGAAGAAGTGGATCAACCTATGGAAAGAACCAGACCCAATAACAGCGTCGAAGGAGACAAACAAGGGGTTCCGTGAAGCGCTGGATGCCTTCTACAAGGAATACTCCCCTGACACTCAAACAAGAGATGCAGTAGTCCAATACTTGCAATCAGACAAGGTACTGAATCCAATAAAAGCATCAGTACAAGCTCACGTCGATGCTATCTTACTATGCGGCGAAAGAGCGAACAAATTACACGGAATAAGAGGACCATTATCAGACTCTGAAATGAAACAAATAGTCTTCAAAGCCTTCCCCAGAGACTGGAGAGTACGATACAAGCAGAGTGCTCAGGATCTCAAGACTGACACTATCAAGGACATAGTAACATACATGAATGATCAAAAAGGAATAGCAGACGAGGCTTCCGAGCACAATCAAAGATCAAACAGGAAACAAGACAACCATCAAGCAGGCCGAGGACGACAATCGAATAGCAGAAACCAAGGCCAATCCAGAGGAAATAACCAACACAGCAACAAGCGGCAAAAACAGATGGAGGAAAAGTTGAACGCCCCTTGCCGCACGCATAATGGGGCCCACCGCTGGGGCGATTGCCCGCTAAACTGGAGGAACCAACAGCAAGGAGGCCGTGGTCGCGGCTATGGTGGACGCAGTGGCGGTTCACACCGAGGCGGCCATGGTGGCCGTGGCGGCAATCATTACCACCAGCAGGGTCCACTACAAACCTATTACCAGATCAACGGGCAGTTCGTCCCCTCACACCAAGTTGTAACTACTGGAGATCAACAGACCTACACAGCAGCTTCTCAACGATCTTCGGGTACCTCCGTCCCCTCCGCCGTGGACGCCGGCTCAGTACAATCATCACTCACACCTTCCAGTGACCAGTCGTTTCCCCAAGCCGAGGGATACTTCCAATTCCATCCTTTCAATAATCCAAACTTCCCGCAACAAGGACACCGCCAGTGGTGACCCTTCTTGCCACACACCTACGCAGCTAATATACCTGCTCCTTCACCATTACAAACAGCATTGCAGCCCGGGACCCCCAATCGCCTCCCGGACAAGCTGCCAGTAGCCGTGCTAGTAGCCGGCAACATTCAGGGGCTCCATGTTGGACGCACCCTCAGAACACTCCTAGACAGTGGAAGTACAGGCTCTTTGCTTCACTCACGTTGCCTCCCAGTGGGAGCCATCCCAACAGTATCTGCTCGCAAACAGATCACCACTACAGCCAATGGGAGCTTTGACAGCTCTCGTAGCGCTCTTATTACTGATATCCGCCTACCCGAGTTCGGCAATGGCAGGCGCATAGGGGGGATAAAAGCAAGTCTCTTTGACGCCCCCTGCATATACGATATCATACTAGGCCGCGACTTCCTTAGACTCCCTGGTATTGACCTGTTCTTCACTACCAACACTATCAGATGGCTAGACAGAACCATCGAAATGAGAAGCCCAGAACACTTCAATAGCCCTCAGCATGTAGCAGAGGCCCTCTGGCTCGCAGAGGACGACGAGCTCTTAGACGGAGGATTCGCGGAATGGCAATTCCCATCACAAGAGGCCTTCCTCCTCAAGGACTCAAGCAGTTCTGCTACAATAGAATCTACAGACGGCAAGCCGCAGTCGAGTACAATCTTAGATGCCAAGTATCAAGAGGTTAGCCCAGCTCAGGTAGCAGCGCAACAAGAACATATGACACAAGAAGAGAGACAGGAGTTCAAAACAGTCCTCGCAAAGCATGTGGTACTATTTGATGGCAAGCTTGGCAAATATCCAGATGCCAAAGTCCACATTGACCTTATCCCAACAGCAAAACCAGTGTGGAGGAGACCTTATCCAGTGCCGTATCGCCACAAGGAGACCTTTGAAAAGGAATGCAAGCACCTTTGTGATGAAGGAGTCATCGAAGAGACCATCAACTCAGAATGGGGCTTCCCAGCATTCATAATACCAAAGAAGGATGGGAGAGTCCGCTGGTTAGTGGACCTACGGGAGCTCAACAAGTTAGTCCGCAGACCCAAATTTGCTTTGCCACGAATACCAGACATAATGAATAGGCGCAAGGGTTACACCCACTTCACAAAGATAGACCTTTCGATGATGTTCTATTGCTTTGAACTAGATGAAGAAAGCCAAAATATTTGCATTCTAACCACGGAAATAGGCAACTTCAAGTGCCTCCGTCTTCCCATGGGGCTCAAGTCAGCTCCTGACTATGCACAAGCATTTATAACCAAATCTTATGGGGCCTTGATGTTGAAGTATACATAGATGATATGGGCATTTGGACTAACCACCCATTTACGAAACACATCACCCTCGTTGACAGTATACTGGAACGCCTTGCATCCAAAGGAATGAAGTGCAACCCACTCAAGTGTGAATGGGCCGTAAAGTCCTCAGACTTCCTAGGCTATTGGATGACCCCCACGGGTGTTCAGCCCTGGAAAAAGAAGGTAGAAGGGGTCCTCAGGATGGGTCCTCCTCGCAACCAATCACAGGTTCGATCCTTCCTGGGAGCGGTTAACTATTACAAATCTATGTGGCCCAGACGCTCACACGTCCTAGCTCCACTCACTGCTCTTACTGGTGCTGGGCCTTTCATCTGGTCCCAGGCTTGTGACAAGGCATTTAAGGAAATGAAAGCACTCCTTGTGCATGATGCTATAAATGTCTTTCCAGACCTCAACATCCCCTTCCATATCTACACCGATGCCTCAGATTACCAGCTCGGAGCAGCAATCCTTCAACGTGGCCGTCCAATCGCCTACTGGTCAAAGAAACTAGATAAAACTCAACAGAACTACAGTACAATGGAAAAGGAGCTCCTTGCCATCATCCTCTGCCTCCGCAAGTACCGCAACATGCTGTATGGTGGTAAGCTCTTCATCTACACGGATCACAAAAACTTAACATTCAGGACCTTGTCCATGCCCCGCGTCCTTCAATGGCGCCTAGCAATTGAAGACTTTGATCTTACTTTCAAATACATTGAGGGCAAGAATAATGTGTTAGCTGACTGTTTCTCTTGTGTCCCTTGCATGGCAAAGCCCACTGTCGGGGATAAAGAACAAAAGATGTATGAACAGAACAAGGGAACAGTGGTAGATTTCAAACAATTAACTGCACCCGTTGATCACGAGGATGTATTCATGAATATCGATATTGAAATAGTCGAGTGCCTCTTGAACCTACCACCGATCACTGAAATGGACAACCCATTAGACCTGGCCACGATTGCGGCTCATCAAGCAAAGGATGCCAGATGTCACCTCCATCTCAACAAAGAACCCAAAGTCTATTCTAAACAAACAATCGGTCGACACAACATAATCTGTTATCACGGAAACTCAGCACATAACTGGAAGATATTCATTCCCCAGTCCCTCGTACCTTGCATACTCAGATGGTACCACTTAATACTTGGACATTGCGGTGCCACAAGACTTTATGACACCATCAACGCCAGGTTTCATTACCCTGGACTAGCCACGTTGTGCAAGGAATACAACTGTCCCGACAAGTGCCATCTCTACAAGCAGCAGGGCAGAGGCTATGGTCATTTACCTCCTCGACAAGCCCAACTATTGCCGTGGAATGAAGTTTGTGTAGACCTCATCGGCCCTTGGAAAGTAAACATACAGGGTACTGACATAACTTTCAGAGCGTTAACTTGTATCGATCCAGTTTCCAACCTATTGGAGATTATAAGGATCAATAACAAAAGCGCTTGCCACATTGCTGACCAATTTGCTAATTGCTGGCTTGCTAGATACCCCAGACCGTGTCGATGTGTACACGATAATGGAGGAGAGTTCTTAGGCTGGGAATTCTTAGAACTCCTAGCCCGATACGGTGTTCAGAGTGTTACCACAACCGTAAAGAATCCCCAGGCCAACGCGATTTGCGAAAGAGTACATCAAACTATAGCCAATATCTTGAGAGCAGTCATCCATTCAACTCCACCAACAAATACCAACGAAGCTGAACAGCTGGTGGATAACGCTCTCGCCACAGCCATGCATGCCACCAGATGCGCAGTTAGCGCAACGTTACAGACGTCTCCGGGGGCCATGGCTTTCAATCGAGACATGATCATAAACATTCCTTTGATTGCTGATCTAACCACAATCAGGGACAAACGCCAACATCTCATCGATCGAAACCTCATCAGGGAGAACGCCAAAAGAATTGACCACAGGTTCCGAGTAGGCCAAGAGGTCAACATGAGAATGTACGATCCTATGAAGCTATCAGAAAGACTACACGGTCCATATCCCATTGAGGAAGTGAACACCAATGGGACTGTAGTTATCAGGCTTAGTACGGATATAACTGAGACAGTCAATATACGTAAACTAGTTCCTCACCACGCTCAAGCGACTGTTGAGGGGGAACAATGACGGTAGGAATATTACGTGGAAACTCTACCAGTAAAGTGTAGGGGCAATATTCCTGTCGGGGATAACAATGCAACGAGCATCGGTCCCGCGAGCGACCCTTGATCGCGCGAGACCAAAAGACACCAAGTYGGCCAGCACCCCATTGGATGTTCCAGAATCAAGTCCCGGGTTGGATGTTCAGAATCCAACCCGACAAATCATATTCATTCAACTTACTATATAATTTAAATTCTATGAAATCATAAACGCCTTACTTTTACTCACGTAGTTGGTGCACGAGTACCTGGTACCGATAGGTCCCGTTTTGTATTTTCCCAATACCAACAGGTGTACGTGCGATCACAAGATGCATACCTTTCTTTGGTATGAATTGTAATAATACTTTTAGAAAAGATTTGATTTTGCTCATACGTGTTACTCGTACTCGTACTCACACATCGTGATGTCAGCATGCATCTGGAACTTTTTCCGTGACTCTGTTGCTCTGTCGTTGTTGTGCCGTACCAAGGTGCCGTACCAAGGTGCCGTACCAGTTGGCCTTCGATTGAGCATGATATTCATCAATCATCGTTCTCTCAACATCAAACGTTCACCAGATGATTGCATAAAATCACCAGAGAGCAAAAGGCGACTCCAGTGACATAAAATTAAACACCAAGCAAAAAAAGAAATATTTTATTTATCAACAAAAATGGCTCGTCACTCTATCCTCTTCACGGTACTCGCTGGGCTCTTCGCACTTCAAACGGTGTCCGCTTTTGCTCCCCTCCAGCAGCCTTCGAATTCTGCTCCCAAAACAGATTTGGTCGACAAGATGAGCAAATTTGCCACGACCGCCGCTGTTGTGATTTCTACATCTCCCTTGATCGCGTTGGCAGAGGAAGTCGATGACTACGAATACGGAGCCGTTTCTGCTCCCATCTCAGTTGCATGGCTTGGTGGTCTTTTTGCCGTTGGYACTGCTCTCTTGCCCCTCGCACTGCAGGGAGGCGAAGAAGCTTTCGATGAAATGAGAGAGAGAGACGCAGGAAAGTTCGGAACCGGCGATTCTTCTGCTCTGGATCGAAAGAGGGGACGATTCTAAGTGGATGTCGATTGGTCTTCTACTGAGTAGAGTCGATAAWTTTTTTATTTTTTGTGGGCATAAAGGCTTTCGACGCAACGCAATGATACAACGGGTGTCCGACGTACGAAATATTGAACAGGAAGTTGGTTAACGAAAACARAATGGATGCATCAATTTGCGCTCGATATACTCACAAAGAATAACTTTAAGGATTCTTGTATTGATGCAACATAAAAGAATGTAACGCAAAAAAATCTCCTTTGCTCGTGCCAGGAATGAGTTACAATACTTTTCAATAAATCTTTTAAAATATCCCCACTATTCGCAGAACGTAATACTAGTCACTGCTGGTGATGATTCGGATGCCTTGAAGCTGACTCTTCTTGATACTGAAATTTTCATCGGGACAACTGATAAACATAGCATTGGTGGGAATCTCCAGCGTTCGACTGAGCCATTGMACCGTGGTTGCATTGAAGTTGCTATTTACTACAAGTAAACTTATTTTCACTCGGGGGTAAAGAAGATCTAACAATTTCACGTGCTCCTGTAGGYCTTCGGTGTTCTTTTTGAGCCCCCCTTCTGTTGTAAAAGCGCAATGSACGAAAATGATCTTGTTCGTTTGTTCATTCTTCTGAATGTAAAGAACTGCCTTGTTTGCCATATGCAAATCATCGTGTTTCATGAAGAAGATAAAGGGGGTGTCTTGAAACTTCTTCACAGTGTTTGCGATGCGTTCCAGACATGACTCGTAACYTCCAGGAGGCTCGGGGACAAGACCAGACATCATCCCCTCTTCTTCCTCATTTATACGTGAAGATACAGTTCTTAATTTTCTGGAGAGAAGGGACTCGTCCTCAGTCCCTTCCGAGTCGGATGACTCTTCAACATCACAATCTTGAGGTTTGTGAAAGGATTTGAATACTTTGTAGAGCAGTCGCACAATCTGAACTCGTTGAAACATTATGAACACTAATGTACCAACAATCAGAAAGTACACSAAAAAATAGGTCAACAATTCTGGTTTTCCGAGGACGTTCCCAAGGAGGGCAGTCAYCACTGCAATTAGACCAAGGATAGATTGAAACCAAGAGGTTGTTATCTCACGCGGCAATGATGGTCTCTTGATTTTGAGCAAAACATTTCCTAACGCAAAGATGCTGTTGGATTGGATAAGTATTTGGAAAAGAATAAAAACAGAGATCTGAGATATAATTATGTCATTGCAATCAGGCCGATTCTTCAATGGAGTAGCACAAGGCTAAGCGAGAGGGAGTTACTCACGTCATGACGGTCAAAAAGGCRTAACAGTAGACACCACCCAATGCCTCAACATCAGAATCTAGCAATATTACTTGGGAGACACAGAGTAAGAAGAACCCCACCAAAATGAACGAGTCTGTACCCGTCCATGGATTTGATATCAGGAAGAACTGGGGGAGACATCGATCCATGCTCATTCTTCGGATAAGGCCATTTATACCTACGTATCCCGTCAAAAGCGCTGCGGCTAAGACGATAAAAGCATCTACTGAAATGATGAGCGAGAACATTGACCCAATAGATACATGCTCTTCGGAAATACGGAGTCTGCTTTGTAACCATCGTCCAACGATACCAGCCATGCGAGCKAGTACCGTGTCTTTGTTCTCCAGGATGTCATTCAAGGGCATAGYAGCAAAACTGATTAAGGACAGGAGAGGATTGAACACTACAACACCCATCCACATGTTTTTTAGAGTCTTAGGGAATACACCAGGTGCCTGTTCTTCAACGAATTGACTACTCGTTTCGAATCCGGAAACACCCAACATCGCACTCGAAAATCCATAGAACATTGCAGTGAATAAACTTCCGGTCAAAATATCACCCGCTGCATCCACAGATGGATATGGTGTYTGCCAATTTTCGTAYAAGAGGTCCGAATGGGAAATCATGAAAATTATACCCATGATGGTCAACGACGACAAGACTGTCACGTGGATGACAAAGATGGTCTTGGCGACTAAGAACAATCAGTTGTCAGCCACAAGTTTGAATCCAAGCGATTGCATTGCAGAGTACGACACAGAGAATAAAGAATAAAGTCGACTTTTCCGTCACTCTCTTYAAGAAAAAATGAAAGAACTTACCGACGGCTGATTCCGAMATTCCAAGGTTTGTCAACAGGCAGAAGAAGAAAAGCAACGAGATTGTAGCAGCTTGTTGATCAATCTCAACACTCTCTGGTAGAATTGTTTGAAGGTAGGCAACAGCTTCCAATGCCGAAACTACGCCTGTTGTGATGTACGCGATGATTGCAAAAACGGCAGCGATGGATGCAGTTTGTTTTGAAGTGCAATTCAATAATATATTATAAGTTCCACCATTGCAGGGCTGATGCAGCAACATATGATTTGCCAACACGGAAATAGTGCCGACATTGAATAAATAGAATGAATTAGTAGCAGAAACAGGTGATAAYATGTATACGACCCCGAAGCATTTTGCGTGATGGTTCTAAATYYAACGGTCTACTTACGAGTGCCATGACCGTTTCGTGATAAATCCCTCGAAACAAATAAAGAACAAAGCCCACTAGCGCCAAACAGACCGGTGCCAATTTCCCCGCTGATAACGTAACCAGGCCCGAAACATAGAAAGTGGAGCTAAGAATATCTGAAAGAAAAGCCACCACATTAAATTATGCACATACGACGGCAAGTGTGAGATGTTGCGTATTGTCGGATCAGTTGGAGTTGTTGCACAATATATTTTAACGCACCATTCCCTGAAATCGCCGTTGCCTCTAATTCTCCTAATTTTTTCTCTTCGTGCTCCTTCGATTCGAACGAGCTATCGATGAATTCCATGTCCGATTTGTCCGGTGAAATGTTCACATCATAGCTTCCATATCCTGGAAAATCATGTGGCTCGTATTTCTTCCTGGTTGAACCAGGAGGTGTCCACAGCCACGACGATTTATCGAGCTGCTGAGAAAGAGCAGGATTTGACAACGTCTTCTGCATGTTTGCTGTAATTTTATCCAATGAYCCTAGCAGATTGTGAGAATWTCTTCGACGAYGAGGAATGGCAATGTTATGTATCCGTTAAAGTGCCTTGCGACAGATGCAATCGGTCCCGTACCRGYAGGCATTTTCAATCGTGGTACGAGTAGCATGCCTCTCGACCTCACAACGCGCAAAGACACGGAACAAATTTGAACGTTTTTCGTCGTTGTTGGGAGTTTGGTTCAACCATCTATCTTGAAACGCTGTCAACGGCGATGATGCCATATGCTTTCGTTCAAAAGATTTGAAAACACGATTTCGTACTGGGTGGTATTTTGTGTCGAAACCGTGCATCACAGTCGTTCAACTCCGGCTAAAGTCTGGAAACAATTGAAAATACAAAGAGGGCGCGAATGCAATCACAGTTGGTGATCGCATCAGCCAAGAATATGACGTCATTTGAAGCATACCGGTATGATATATTGTAGTAGAATATATTGTAGTAGAAGGTACGAGTAGTATGATTATGATAGTGGGATCATACTGTACAGCACTTGTGCGAGGCTTCTTTCTTTCAAAAACCAAGAACACGAATCGACGAAAGATTTTTAGATCCATCAACCACAGAAAAAAGCAGGTTAGAAGATCTTCTTGGATGAAGAGAAAAAATAAATTTGACTAACTCGTTATCAAAATGGCAGATAGATACGGGATTGTAGTCGTTTTGAAGGCGAAAGAAGGAAAGATTGACGAGCTCATCGAACTTGGCAAGGGACATTTCGTGAGACAACACGATGGTCGAGAACCAGGAGCTACTTGCGCATCAATCATTATGCCGTTGCCCGACGAGCCAAATACGGTTCGTTTCTTTGAACAGGTATGAAAGTTCTGGCAGTKTTCATTTCCCCATTTTTGCGTTTTYGTGGAAATTCCCTGTTGGAKCTTCTGTCCGACCGCACACGGCGCTTTTCACAAGATCGAGGCCRTGGCACTGGTGCAGACATTTAAGTCAATTCCTTGACGATTAACAACGCGCTATAGAGAACAGTGAAAACTTACGAATTGTTACTTTTCATTTCATGATATCGTTCTACGTGCGGTGCCTGAAAAGTGGATCGACAAAGAAAGTTACGAATTGCATAGTGCGCCTAACGAGAACCTGGCGGTATTTCTGGAAGCCGCTGGCCCCATCCTCGACGGTGCTCCGATCGTCTTAAGCTCACCAATGCTCCATTATGAGAAGAAGTRAATGCTGATTCAGGTTTGGCACGACTCACTCAGTGAATCGAGAAATTCATTGTGTAAACTTCACCCAACGAAAATGAGTGCGTCGTTTTCTTGGAATACACATCCAATCGTATACAAAAAAGGAGCATTGTTGCAGTTAAAGCATTTCGACGGGGAAAAGCACAAGGTAGACGTCATTCATGATTTCATTTAGGGTATCCATAAGTCTTGTGACAGGTAAAATAAAAATCATTTCTTCCGTAGGAACAGAAACTGTGGAATCAACCATTGATGTCGCTATTCTTCCTTCTTTTAGGAACTATGAAATGCAGTGCCAACTGTGAGCCTAAATCACGAGTAGATAGTGAATAAGCTCACTCTTTATTGTAAACAAAATGGGAATCTAACGGAGAACATATTGGCTTGATCAACGAATAAAGGAAGAGTAAAGAATGAACCTATTGGTCAAAAAGGAGTGTTATAGATTCAAACCATCTCGATAGCAGTACCGTTTCAGCACCAAAGGCTTCAATTYATGAATAGCTGTCTCAAGCAAAAGCGAGCGCCTTAACACCACTGGGGTTGCGATTCAAAACCGCTTCACTTGAATTATACTACATAGTAGTAGTGGTAGGTATAATCAAGCATTTTATTCTAGCTAGTACTTGTATTGTATTCCGTCCCCATCTTTCATCTCTTTACAGCACTTTTAGGTCAGTAGCACCACTCTCTATGGATGTTAGATGCAGTTGTCAAATCTCCCTCTTATCTGGAATTCTCATTACTGAGGTCGTACTCTATCTCTGCATTGTTATTCCATGCTACCCGAACCTCTAGACTACAGAATCCGAATTCCCCAGAAGACAAGTACGAAAAACGATGCTGCACTACATACCGGTACTTCTACTCTAGATGATGAAAGATGAAAAAAAAACGATACTGATATCGTCGAGAGGGGGACAGGGTAACGTATATACGGACAGACAGAAGCACCAAAATGGGGAATTGATACGGTACAAAAATCAGATTGCTTTCGATTTCTTTTCCTCCACCTTACAGTAATTTTGACGCGAGATGTTGATTGCGTTTGGCAACTGATGCCGACAATGGCAGCGCCGAATAGAAGATAGAGAAAGCGCATTTTGGCAAAGAGCAAACAACAGCAAACCATGATTCGCAGAATATCGGGCAGCATCCCGAGATGCACCTCATCGTCTTCGCGGCCGCTGCCGCCCATTGGTTCGGCCCCCYTTCATTGCTCGCGAGAGGCGGYGGTCGCTGCGGGGACTCGCACAAGCCGGCGGRGCATTTCGTTCTCTCGCCCGTGCTGCAAATGGTCGGTGGACTCCGACACGGGCGTCGTTTCGTTGGACGGAACGGCCAGGTTCCAGACGGTGATTGGTGTGGAGATCCACGCGCAGCTGGACGTTTCCACAAAGCTCTTTTCCGGTTGCCCCGTTCCGAACAGCAAAACGACCAAAGGAAAGAGCAGCATCGTTCACAACAAGCCCAATTCCTCCGTGTGGCCCATGGACGTGGGAGTTCCAGGAATATTGCCRCGGCTTTCTTCCGAGGCCGTTCGGGCCGCCGTTCTTTCGGCGGGGGCAATGAATTGTTGTGTGCAAMCGGTGTCCAGGTTCGAGCGGAAGCATTATTTCTACGCCGATCTGCCGTTGGGGTACCAGATCACGCAGCAACGATGGCCYTTGGCACGGGATGGACTGCTGGTGTGTCAGAAGAAAACCAAAAAGCAGAAGAACAAGAACAAGAAAAAACAGAAAAAAACGAAAGACTCCAGCGACAACGCCGAAGATACGTTCACTCTTCGCATCGAACGGGTTCAGCTCGAACAGGATACTGGCAAGACGCTAGCGGATGCCTACACGAACCCCATTACCAACCGTAGGGAATCATTGGTAGATTTCAACCGTGCGGGGCGGGCTTTGATCGAAGTCGTGAGCCACCCAGACCTGAGGTCCTCGACACAAGCCTCCATTGTCGTCGAAACGCTGCGATCGCTCTTCAAGCACATTGGGACCTGCGACGGAAAAATGGAAGAAGGGTCGCTTCGTTGTGATCTGAATGTCTCGATCGCACCCATTCTGGAGAACGAGGATGACGGCGGCAATGCAAGCGATAGCAGCGTCGATTGCGACATCCTTTCGCGGACGGGTCATCGAGTCGAAGTCAAAAACCTCAACTCGATCCGGCAGGTCCAGCAGGCAGCCGAATACGAAGCCTTGAGGCAGTCCCGGGCGATCCTAGAAGACAATTCTCCTACGCCACAAGAAACCCGAACATTTGACGTCAAAACAAACAAGACGGTGGTCATTCGGACCAAGGAAGGTGCCAAGGACTATCGATTCATGCCGGACCCCGACCTGCCCCCGCTGGTTCTCGACAACGACGACGCGCTGGGCAGCGGAGGCGTGGAAGCATTTTTGGAAGCCAACCTTCCCGAGCTCCCGGACCACGCCCGGGAGCGGCTTCGGACCGAGCACGACCTGACGGATTACCTGGCCGGTGTCGTCACGAACGACCCGCCGGCCATTGCATTCTTTGACGAGGCGGTCCGCGAAGCCCGCGCCCAGCTCCTGGGAGGCGACGATCGGAGGACGCGGCAAATCCCGGAAACCGTCGCCAATCTTCTTTGCAACGAGCTCTTTGCGCTCGTGCGAGAGTTCGAGATGCAGCGCCTGATCGAGGAGGGCCTGGTCGATGCAGCGGGGGGAGGTGGTGATTCGTCCATGAGATATTCTCGGGTGACCGGACAACAGCTAGGAGAAGTTGTCGCCATGGTCCTAGAAGGAAYAATTTCCAATACCATGGCCAAGCAGCTCTTGCGAGTTTTGTATAGCGACGCAATGGGAGACGAGGATGAAGGAGAAGAAGAACCCGAATCGACAATAACGCCATCGCGGGTGGGAAAATCGCCCCGCACCGTGGCAAAGGAACGCGGGTTCGAGCTCATCACCGATGCGAACGAACTAGAAAAGTTGTGCCGAACAGCGATTGGCAACAGCCCGAAGGAAATGGAGCGCTACAAGCTGGGTGGGAAATATTCTGTGAAAATCACCAAGTTCTTGCTGGGGAAGGCCATGGGTGCCAGCCGCGGAAACGCTCACCCGGAACGGCTGAACGAGGTCCTCGCGGAAGTTTTGGAGGAGGTTGCGCCTCTCGACTCCGTCGAATGAGGGGCAAACAAGTCGTACCGCTTTCGGTTRAGAAGGATACGTAGCTCAGTTATTCTCGCGCCTGGCGGATTCCAAATATAAAATTGAAYCACTGCCAACTTTGGTTTCGAACCCAATTGATTGCCTATATTCTCCTATGAATTTTCTGATCTGTTGCATTACGCTAGCATTCCAGAGTTTACGCTCTTTTCGTCATTCTATCAAAAGACRTTTTGTAATGTTGGTTTTATGGATATTCTCCGAGTTCTTGCAATTTTTGTATCGCCAGCAGGCTCCCATAGCCACCGACAAGATTCATTTCTCCATTCCTGACGAACTCTAGTATCTCTGGTATAGTGACGCCAGAAACGATTTCGATGTCCTCTTCGTCGTCCAATGGTTTCGGATTTTCTTCCGGTTCCGGATCGATCACGAGGTAGCACTGTATCGTGGTGGTGGAATACTTGTCCATTGCCGCTGGCTGGGTCAGGAGGGGGATCCATCTCCCGCCCTTCAGGTGGCACTCCTCCTCCAATTCGTGGCGCGCCGCTAGTTCKGTGTTGTGCTCGTGCTTGTCCTCGATCAATCCAGCGGCGAGGCCCCACAACACCCTGTGGGAGGCGGGCATGTATTCCCGAATCATGGTAGCGGTCTTGGACTTGCTATCCCAGGCGAATATCAGGACGGCTCCCTCCCCCGTTTTGACCCCCACCAGATCGAAATCCACCACCTTGCCGTTCCTCATTCGTACGATGCGCTTGTTGATCGTCCTCCATCCGCTGTAGACGATGTTTTCTTCGAGGATTTCGAAGGTTTTGTCACCGGTGCCGCTATCGGCGGTGCCGTCGCTGTCATTTCCATCGACGGTACCATCGTCTCCTCCCCTAGGAATATCTTTTATTTTCGTCCGGAAGGCATCCGTCCGGGTATCCAWACGGCCTTSAAAGGGCCGATCGACYGCGTAAAAGCGCGTTTGCTTTGTGCCCCGCCCTGAAACAGCTCTTCCATTGATTCCTCGCCCACAACAAGCAACCACAATCGAGGAGAGCGTTGCTGCTAGTTTGAGCAGGACTCGCAAGGAAACGTGAGAGCGAAAAGGTATCATTCGGCGATCGATAGGAAGGATTGACCGCTTGGGTTTTAGAGATGCCGCGCCGGTRGTATCGTGTGTCGGCAATCGCAAGAAATGGAGACGATCGGTAGTAAGCTATTGGAGCACCGTTCYTTATTTCGATATCACCCATCAAAGGAGTACCAGGTACCGTTGCCAACGTACGCACGCACGGGTACGTACAGTACGTACTACTCGTACCAGGAGGCGATGTACGGTAGGTACCGTACGTACCGTCACCCGTTACCGATCGATGATGGCTGCCGTGGCTGCGGTACTCGTACTCGTACTTCCTGTAGAGCAACCGATTTTAACTCGTCAAAAACTACCCTGAACCTTACTGTACTTCTTTCTAAATCAAAGTATTTTTGATTTAAATCTTGTCTGTCCGCGACTCACTCACTCAGCTGCCATAGCCACAGGCTTCACACATCCAAAACMAGCAAAATTGTCAACCAAGGCGATGTTTTCTAGTTTCGTTCCGCATGGGTAAACAAATGCACCTGTAAGAAGTCGTACAACACAACGAGACCCACTTCACCATCCACAACCACCATCACCTCCTTCCTTTGACACATCGAAATCAAGTGAATTGGCTTAACGGTCGATCGATTTCTAACACAGAAACACAGCAACCCTAATTATATGTTTGACTATATCAAAAGCATGGTGACGACACGCAGAAGATCTGCTCGGATAAAGAAAATGCAAGGAGACGACGAGATCGGTTCCGAGAATGTGCAGCAACAAGAAGGCCCTGGGGACGATGGCGACGATGACAGCGRCGAGGTGGAGGCAGCGGCGAACAATGATGCAGTGACGAAACACAGCGACGGCGAAGAAGAAGCTGCCGCATCGTCGGCMAAAAAGTCGAAGGCCCGAAAGAAAAAGGAACTCAGGAGGCAGCGCAAGGAAGATCTCAAATCCAAGGCGACTGGGGTCGGACTGAAAATATCTGTCGATTCTTCTGGAAGCGCTCCCGTCAACAAAAAAATCGTCTTTGGTGACTACGACGAGGACGACGCCGAGAAAGACACGAAGGAATCGACGAGTTCCGAAGAKGTATCCGCGAAAGAAGACAAAGGTGGCAAGGTGGAGGAAAACTGCGAGGACGAGGATGATGACGATGCTGTCGAGGAGGTCCAGGGCAGTGCCGCCCGGGACGAAGTCATGGATCGAATGAAGATGGAAGAAAAGCAGTCGCTGAAAACAAAAAAGAAGCGAAACCGAAAAGCCCGAAAGGAAAAACCAAAGCCAAAAGAGTACGGGAGCGACGACGAAATGGACGACGAGTTTTTTGCACAGCTCAATTCGGTGCGCCAAAAGGAAGAAGCACAGGAACGGAGGGAAGAGGAAAAGTCGAGGGCGGCTGCGAAGGGCAAGCACACGACCTTTGTCTTTGCGCAGAACAAGGACGACGACCAGGCTCCCAGCGGTCCCATACAAATCGACGAGAACATTCAGGTGGTTGTCCTCAAGGATCCGTCGTCGTCCGTGGGTGTCGCTTCTGCGCCAGCGACACAAGTGTCAAAGGTGGCGCTCRCATACTCCCGGAACCGGCTGAAGGATGGATCCGATCCCTCCGCTGGGGCCACCGAGGCGAAGCGCAAGCGAAACCGATCGGGCGAGGAGGTCCAGCCCTGGAAACGCGTGGCCCGACCGCGGCTTGCGATGGGGCGCTCGAGAATGACCAAGGGAAAGCCAGCAGCCTTTTTTACCAAGAAGAAAAAGAAGYGGTAGARGGACGTGGCAATATACTTATATTACTACTATTAATAATATTCTAACTCTATATCATGGTAACTTAGATTTTACTGATTGATTCGTTTGGTTAGGTTTGGCACATCTTCTACCGAAGCAACTAATGGACTGACGATTTTTTTGATAMTCAAGTTAGCACTACCGGCAATCAATCGCTTCAATTTGATACACCAGAAGAGACCAGCAGTAAGCGTTGCTTTAAAGAAGGACCAGAATCCAACATCAAGAAAATTAAATCATTCGAAGGAACGGCTAGAAGCTACAGTACAACACGCTTCGTGATAGTCGTACTAGTCGAAGTTGAATACTCGTACCGTTCGTACCGTGCGTTACTACGTTGATAGTTGCTATTACCTAGTTACCTCCAGGGGTCATAATTTAGACCCCTGGTTACCTCTACCTCCTGTCTCCAGTCCATATGCCATCAATTCACCTCTTAGGGCAGGTGTGGTACGTACCGTACTGCAGTGGTCATAATTTAGGACCCATGCCGTACGGTACCGTACTCCCTAGCTAACCCGACATAACGAGATATTCCTTCCTCTAGCCTGTTTGACCTGTGGTCAAAACAGCCTCTGTAACGAGTCCCTTATTCTAGACTTTCCCGGATACTCTGGGGCTAGTGGTTTTGCGTGTGGTGGTGTGTTAAGCAGGTGTTAATGGGAAACCAAGTAACCCTAACTCCTTGCCACGTGGCAGTGCCCTACCGATTAGGGTTAGGGGGAGGAAGGGGCTTGGATCCCTGAGACTGCTTATCCAACCCACCGGCCTCCGCATACTAACTAGCTGCGTGGCGGGCGGGAGGGATAGCTTTTGCTCTTATTCTACTACTACTGTCTTCGTTGCAGCTGCTAGTTAGCAATAGTGGTCTTAGTGAGGAGCAGCTGTATGCTGGAGCTCAAGACGCACCTCTTGTTGCTGCTCTCAGCTGCTGTACTGGARTAGTATGATTGCTCCCAGCCACTCATTTCTTGTTACTGCGCGCTCAATTTTCTTTCGCGCGCTGATGTCAGTCCAGGGACTGCGGGACTCGCTACACCGACTGTTTGACCTGTGGTCAAAACAGCCTCTGTAACGAGTCCCTTATTCTAGACTTTCCCGGATACTCTGGGGCTAGTGGTTTTGCGTGTGGTGGTGTGTTAAGCAGGTGTTAATGGGAAACCAAGTAACCCTAACTCCTTGCCACGTGGCAGTGCCCTACCGATTAGGGTTAGGGGGAGGAAGGGGCTTGGATCCCTGAGACTGCTTATCCAACCCACCGGCCTCCGCATACTAACTAGCTGCCAATGGGCCCAAGAAAGGCCACCGGGGGGGAGCGCAGCGTGGGCGGGATGATGGTGAGGAGGCGACCGTGAGGGCGAGGCGGCTGGTGCGAGACGCGAGCGTTGGGAGCGGGGAGTTGAGGCGAGTAGGGAACAGGCCATCCCGAGGAGTCGTGTGGGACGACCGGAGATGGCGGGTCATAGCGGCGGTTGGGAAGGAACTGTTTCTTCCGGAAGGAAGCTGTACTTGCCATTGTTAAACATTAAGCTGGCCAGGTTCTTGAAAAGGGGGACTGATTGTTGGTGGAGATACCGCATCATAGCGTCACTGTGCCACCGGGCAAGCAGCTTAATGACATTAGAGTCACATTTCCCTTGTAGGAGTGCCATGGCCCCCCCGGCTCGCAAGGACCGAGCGCTGAGGTGCCGGGGGGATATGCCAGTTGTCGGGTGCAAGATGGCAGCATGCCACCGCATTGTAGACGTGACCATCGTGGCTGTAATGCGAACGTTTGTGTTGAAGTTGTTGTAGTAGCTCGCCAGTTTCACTGTTCCATCGTATTGCTGGCTGTGTGTGCGGTGGAGAAGGAACTGGCGAATAACAGCAGTTACTGGGCAACAAAGGGGATCTCCACTGCGGGAGTGAGCAATGACGTCCCCTTTGACCCCATTTTTCTGGGTGGTGAACGTGAGGTGGATAGATGTCGCAGCAAGGATTTCAGCATCAGAAGCCAGCACTGAGTGCAGTCGTCTGGGGCCGATAAAGAATGTAACATCATTTAACGAGAAGGCTTGATCATCGCTGGTGGTACCGGTGTATTCCCCAGGCCGTAGACAGAAATAGAAGGCAATGCAAATCATATTCGCGACGGCTTGGCGTTCCGGAGTGGGCTGTTGGTGATATGCAAAATGCAGTGCATGAATGACTACCGTGATTGGGACTGGTTTAACCCGTGATGGTGGGGCGTCTTGATTACGGTAGGCTCTTAGTTGAGCACTAAGCCGGTAGTCTAGGCTGCCAAACCGGTTAAGCCTGGGGTCAGGGGACCCCATCCTGGTGAGCGTCTGCCCCACTGACCTGATGGCGTCCGATACCGTATGAGCCCGTGAACGTTTACGGCTGGGGGAGGCTCGTCCATCATGGTAGCGGGCTCCAAAGACCTGGAGGTAGGGGACTGGATCCCCCGTGGCCCGGAGAAAGGGGTCAAGCTGTTGAGACAAGCAGAAGTCAAGCCAGCATTTCCAATGGGAATCCTTCTTTTTGGAGTAGCCGTGAGAGACACTGGATCGCATCGCCGCTTGGACAGTGAGGAGATCAGCATGGAATGCATGGGCCGTCTCAGCTGGCATTCTTTCCAGGGCAAGTTCTGTGGGTAAACGGAGTTAAAATGGGCAAGTAGCTGTGAGTCATTAAGGTCCCAGGCTCGGGACAAGGTGTCAGCCATTATATTGGCCTTCCCGGGGATATAATCATGAAGCGGAACATATCTAAAGAACCTCTGGTGCAAGGCCTGTAAGCGTAGCAGGAAGGCTACCGGTCCGGTGGTAGTGGCTGCCCCCTTGCGTTGCCAGTGAACAGTCGCTGTGTTGTCGTAAAGGTTATGTACGGTCCTTTCCGTAACGTCTGTGGCCTGAGCCAGTATATCAACATGGGCTATCGATCCCGCTAGCTCAAGCTCACTGTTAGTGATGGATCCAGTAGGATTGGCGAAGGAGACCAGGTCCCTTCGGACCCAAGCTGGGAACCGCGATCTCCAGAGCAAGGGTTGAATCCGTCCGTCTGGCAAGGGGACAAAATGAACTCCTCCCATACCATCCCCTGCTGCATCACAGGCTCCTATCGTGGCCGGCCACGTGTCTGGGATGAGTTCGGCTATCCTAGTAGGTCTAGCGGCTATATCTTGGGCTAACCATTTAAAGTCCGCGAGGCAACCATGAATTGCCCCTGTAAGTCTTAGGCGGTTTCGGTTCCTTTCCTGATGGCACAGGGCCTCCTGTAGTAAGGAGAATAGTCCAAGGGATCCTGGTAGCGCGATTGCCATTGACCTCAGCTCCCCCAGTAGCTTGTGCCAATCCTTTACAGGGACATACTTTTGCCTCGGCTGGATGGAGTTCAGTATTTCATGTAATCGGTCTATCCGGTGAGGCGGCAAAGTGATTGTTTTATTCACTGTATTCAGCATCCATCCTAAGATAATCTTGGTGGTGGCCCAAGTGGCATCCCCCTTTCTAAGCTTCTTAAGTGAAGCTGGTTCCTGCCGGTGAGGGGTGTCCAGGTGATCTAAAGGCCGAAAGACCTTATCCAGTGAGTGTAGGAGAGCTCTCTTGACGGCTCTCCTTCTCCACTGGTTCCCTTGCACCAGTCCACAAAAGTCATCCACATATATATCCCAGTACATCAGGGGCCTCTTTGCGGGGTTAGCTGTTGTCACGGACTGTTGTGGAAGCGCCGTGGTCTCCCCCCCAGGGGAGGTCCCTCCCGGCTCGTCTGGCACCGACTCAGATACTGCATCGAGCCGGTGTGGACGGGCTCGCATCCGTTTAACCCCATCCACTTGGCCCAACAGGTTATTCGCAAGATCTGCTACTGTTTCAGTGCAGGCACTGAAGTTAGGCGGGGAGGAGCGCCAGCCCATTGGGTTGGTGAGGGGTATCCCCACTAACTGGTCTTCTCCTGGCCGTGTAGGAAAGAGTACTGCCAAGCCAATGGTGTCCTCTGGTTTTACCCAAAGCCTGTAAAAACCATCTGACAAGTCTATTTTGGACATGTACACGGGACCAAATACATCGTTAGCTCGATGGATCTTATGCAGTAGCCGCTTCAGGGTCCTTCCGAATTGCATAGCTTCTTCCGGAGCCAGGGGGATGGTGTCGCGGTTAACCCCAAAGTAGCTGTAATCAGAGATCATACGGTCTCGCCGGCCTCTCTGTGGGACCAGTCCTAGGGGACTCAACCGTAACCCTGGGATCCGGGCTACGATCTTAGCTGGGAGTACGGTCCACTGCTGCTTATCCACCATGTCCGCATACTCTTCCCTTAAGAATTCAATGCCATTATGGGAGGACTTGTGGGGCCCCCGAGCCAGTGCGCCCTCGATACGGGCCCGGTCCCACTCTGGGAGCTTCATAGCTGCCGGGGTACCTTCCTCCTGAAACACTTTAAGCAAGCGGGCTGCTGGGTGTGGTAGTTGATCCACCTCTGGATGCAGATCTCCCCTCCCTCGGACAGACCGTATAAAGTCCCCCCAGCTGGTTGCCCGGTCGAACGCTTCGACCGCAAGGAGGACATGCTGATCCAGTCGGTCTGGCGGTCGTCCCACCGGTGCAGTGTAGGGCTCCTGAGGACCGCTCACAGCCCTGGTAGGGCTCCTTCGCAGCATCTCCATATTAAGGTTCCTACTTCGTTGGGGAGGCGCGGCCTCCTGTTTGGAGATAGCGATCTCCCCACCTCCTGGTGCTGGTTCACGATTGTCCGTCTCGGCGATTAAGTGATGTTGGTTGGTTCCCCGTTCTTCAGTAGAGTCTCGGCTCTCCTGTTGGGTTCCTTTTGCAAGTTCTTTAACTTGAGCAGCCTCCTGCGGGGGGGGCTGGTACGATTTGATTTTACACGTAAGTGTCTTACCTAGTTCTACGGGGAGGGGAACGCCCCTCTCCATTGCGGAGCCCGTTCGCTCTGGTTGTGGTGGGAGGCAAGACCAGTTCCTCTCCGTAGGATTCTTACCAGACCCTACGAGGAGGTTCACCTCCCCTCGTTTACTGTGGCTGATCGTTGGCCTCCTGCTGCTAACTGCTGCATCCGCCGTCTCCCCTGTTCTCCGTATCTTCAGCAGGGGAGGAGGCACAACAGCCTCTGCTGGAGTGGGCTGCTTGCCCCCTCCTCATTGCTGGGTGCCATAGGCCTCCTGGCACCATTCCCAGAATCGATCCGCTTCATCTTCCGGGGGCTCTGTATGATCATAGCTGAGCTTACAGCTTTCATAGCAGAAGCCTTTGGCGCGCCAGGAGTGGCACATTTCTTTACCATCGTTCCTAAGGCAAGGTCCCTTGCCTTTTGCTTTCATAGTCCCCATCGCTTTGGAGATCTTCCAGCTCTTCAGGCGGGTTCCCAGTTCCCCTCCTGCGGCGCTTAACCTGCTATCATAGTGGGGGTTCTCCACACGTGTCTGGGGAGGGGACGAGGCGTTGGTGCTGGCAGATCCTGCTTTGGTTCGCTGGTTCCCACTGTTATTCTTCGATCCCTTGGTCCCACTGGTTGCACTCAGGCCGTTAGACCTACGGAGCACCTGCAGGGCTGGTACATCCGATACCACTGGCAGCCAGTTTAGGGTCTTCGTAAGCTTGAATACGCGGAACTCATGTATAAAACTGGGAACCTCTACTGGTGCTGTGCTCTCCCACTGTTCTTCCAACCAACCCCGTATCCGTATTTGGAAGTAGTACACCACAATGGCAGGAGCAAGCTTGTCCCCGCATTCATCCTTGATAGCATACCTCAGTCCCAACTGGATTCTTTTTAGGCGATCTAGACCGGCTAGGTAACTTCTAACGATAGGGTGCTCCATGCCGGTGAGTGTGGCCAGCACAGGGAGGTATCCTTCGATCTGCAAGACGGCTTCCGTCCACTCTACGGGGACATACCCTTTTGCCTTGCCGAGTGTCTGAGCATCACTAAGACTAATGGAGTTACCTTCTGTGGACACTATCGTATCGTAGGCTACCGCATCCTGTGCATCCGCTAACTCCTTCTTACGAGCGGTAGGTGATCCTCCAGGGGGAGCAAAGGCCATAGGGAGGATTCCATCCCCTATCTCACACTCATCTATTCCGTAGAACTGGAAGGTCTGGAAGGTCTTGAGGATTGCTGTGGGCACGAACGGTGCGGGCACAGAAAGCTCCCTTGCAGCCGTATCCACATAGCTCTGGAATAGGGCGTGCAGCTTCTCTCCTTTTTTCTTTTTAGACCAACCTTGGTATACGGGGGGTAACTGCTCGGGGGTATCCGCGAGACACAGGGACATTAATCGCTTTGTGTTGAGGTCCCCGAAGATCTCTTCCATCGTTGGCGGCTTGGACTCTTCCGCTCGTCGCCTCTCATTCGCTTCGTTGGCCTTTAACTGGTTATCAGTAAGTGTGGATACCGCAGCTGTGAGTGCCGCTGTCTCGGGCCCCACTACGGAGGGGACTGAAACTAATCCAGGCAGGTCCCAGTAAAGGACTTTCTGGTCCATATAAACAGATAGGTCCGCTTCGGCCCTGAACAAGGGTCCAGGCTCATTGGCTGCGATCTCGCATACTGCGTTGCTGTGTTCATTGCTTACGTGTGTACTGGCTACCCGTAATGCATCTAGTAGGGGCCTTACACTGTTGGTGAGCCCCTTCCCCGCAAGCCAAGGTTGTAGAATGAAGAAGGCTTGTCGTGGAGATAGATTCTTGTTAAGTACCAGGGGAATCATTTCAAATGGCAAGAAGAACGTGTGCCTACATTTGATCTCCTCAGTATGTGGTGTGTCCTCACTGAGGGGATCGATAAACTGTGCATCAGGATGCGCCTCCAGATGCAACCGGTGTTGGTTGGTAGTATAGACCCTGACGGATCGTGTAAGGGAAAACATACTTGCGGTGACTTGTACAAGTTCCCCTCGACCAGACACTATATCATTGAGGTAACCAAAGGTCTTGCCGGTGTTCGTGGAGGGATGTAGTAAACTCCCCGGATACTTTCTAATTCCGTGTATTACATGAAGCCGGGGAACAGATCGGGCATCATTGACGAAGATTCCCACTCCCCCCACAGCTTGTGCTTCGAATAGATCACGAACTTCCTCTAAGAGTGTTGACGCGGTAGGGGGGTGAGGTCCTGTTCCTCGGAACTTACGATAGATCCCTTCGTAGGCTGTTTGGCGAGTTGCAGTATCGATCCCAAAGGGATTGGCAGCTGGATTAAGGAACAGCTCTTCATACCTCCGGGGGCGCGGCTCCCCGGTTCCCCCCAAGATGTTCGTACTCATTGGGGGTACTTGGAACTAGAGATGAAGGACTGGGGCCGGCGATGTAAGACAGGCGGGCCCCTGTCCCCTTAGATAGCTTTTGCTCTTATTCTACTACTACTGTCTTCGTTGCAGCTGCTAGTTAGCAATAGTGGTCTTAGTGAGGAGCAGCTGTATGCTGGAGCTCAAGACGCACCTCTTGTTGCTGCTCTCAGCTGCTGTACTGGARTAGTATGATTGCTCCCAGCCACTCATTTCTTGTTACTGCGCGCTCAATTTTCTTTCGCGCGCTGATGTCAGTCCAGGGACTGCGGGACTCGCTACACCGATTCCGAGTACGTACTCGTACCAGGTAGAACGAGTAATTTCAATCAGAGCAAAAGCTTACGTAGAAATTGGTCCAAAGTTCGCACACTCGCGTCGCATCTCGCATCACAATGACCCTTTCCCTACGGTAGTACCTTGCTGTACGTACTGTATCGTACGTACAGTACCGTAGTATCCGTCCCTTTCGCTCCTGTACTACGTACGGTACTACTCGTACCAGTACTACTGTGTGTCCCAGCGAAAAGAATATGGTACGGTACGTAGTACGTACAGTAATGAAAGGATCGTACTAATCGCATGGTTCCGCAATGTTCGAAGAATCACAAAAAATTTGACACGTTACAAAAAATAACATATCTTGCCTACGACTTCTGCCTTGAACACGAAGTCGTACTCGTGCCTTTTGTTCGAAGCAAGAGAACTTGATCTCGTAGTTTTCTAGGGGAAAAACGARACCGTCGTCATCGATACTAAAAWCCTGGTCATATTTTCACAGCCATCCCCGACATTTTATTTCTTTCGTCTGATTCTCCATTTCTTCGAGGAAATTACGCACGGAAGACTGGTATCGGACAGTGAGGGTCACTCAACCATTGCACGCACCCAGTCATTACACACACCAAAGAACAACAACCAAACGGCAAAACACCATGACCGTCAATCTCCTTTACGTCGGTCGGCAGTGCGCCCTCGCCACCCTCGTCTACTTCGCTTCGACTGCGAGAACGATAGCGGCGAATCCTTCCAAYMCCAACGCCCGCGACGACATCAACAACTGGTCGGCGGGCAAGCTGCGTAGCCGAGGCGAGGAAGCCTTCAGCCTGCGGCAGTTTGACGAGGCTCTGCGGCTGTACCAGAAAGCGACCCAGGTGGAACCTTCGAACGGGACCAACTTTTACAAGCTCTTTCGCGTCCACAACCGCATGAGAAAATTTTCCAGCGCCCTGTCCGACATCGAAAAGGCCCTCGAGCTGGAGCCTTCCAACAACGCCTGGCGCATGCAAAAAGCCAAGCTGTTGCAGGCTCTTGGACAGTGCGATCGCTCCTTTGTCGAATACCAGCAGGTGATGCAGAACCAGAATGCCAACGGCGAGGGCGCAAGCGCTTCGACCGACAACATCGAAGAACTCCTGCGGCAGGCGGGTGAATGCGACCGGGTGATTACGACGGCGCAGACCGCGCTCATGAACCAGAACTACCCCGAGGCGGCCCAATACTTCCAGATGGCCCTGAAATACGTCGACGCCACCCAGGCCACCGACTTGTTGCTGCAGAAGGCCACGGCCACGCTCGAGACCGGCGACTACTACAGCGTCATATCCGACACAGGCCTGATCCTCAAGTCCTATCCGAAACACCTCGAGGCGTTCCGAGTGAGGGGAATGGCTTATTTCTGGCTCAATGAACACGAACAYGCCGTGCGGCATTTTAGAGAGGGGCTCAAGCTCGATCCGGAACACAAGGGGTGCAAGGAGGGACACAGGCTCGTCAAGAAAATCGACAAAAAGAAGAAAAAGGGTGACACGGCCATGGAGGCAAAAAATTTCGAGGAGGCCATTGAGCACTACAAGGGAGCAATCGCGATCGAGCCCGGCCACAAAAACTTCAACCGGCTCACCACCTTTCTGGTCATACAGGCCTATTCCAAGAACAAACAACACGACGAGGCCATACAGCTCGGACGGGAGATCTCCGCGACGGACGGGTCTACCGAGGCCTTTTGGGCACTGGGAGACGCCCTAACGGAGGCCGAGAAGTTCGAGGAGGCGCTGCGGATYTTCCGTGACGCTCTTCAGGCAGCACCCGAGGGGGGCGACAACGAGACGCAGCAAAAGGCCCAGCGAAAGGTCAAGGAGGCGGAGGTCGCGCTCAAACAGAGCAAGGAAAAGAACTACTACAAGATCCTGGGGCTTCCCAGAACCGCGACGSCAAAGGAAATAAAAAAGGCGTACCGGGCACTGGCGCTCGAGTGGCATCCCGACAAGAACGCGGGTAGGTGTTTCTTATGAAATGAAATTCTGTTTTGTTTCGTGGTGGTCTCGCATGCTTTCTTGTTCGGGTCGTTTTCTCACAACTTTTATTTTTTAAACATCACCGCAGACAACRTTGAAGAAGCTGAAAAGAAATTCCAGGACATTTCCGAAGCYAACGAGGTCCTTTCCGATCCGGAACTCAAAGCGAAATACGACCGCGGTGAACCCGTCTTTGAAAACCAAGGGAACGGCGGGGGAAATCCTCACGCCCAGCACTTTCAGCAATTCTTTCACCGTGGCGGTGGAGGAGGAGGCCAGCACCATAGATTTCATTTTAATTCGTTCTAGTACTTTCTTACTGTTTCGAACGACGAGTTTAATATT